GGCTGGGGGTGACAGTGACCCTCTGTGTCCTGCTGGCCGCCCCTCTGTCTGGCAGACACACTTCTTTTCTCCGTGACCACGGGTGACTGCCCCTCAATGTGCCCCATCCCTTAACCCTGCATGTGAGGCTCTGGTGAGAAAGGGGATTGGGGACCGGGCACCAGAAACTGGAGGCGCTGGGACAACTTGAGTGGGGGTCGACATTCAACACAGACCTTGGCCCCGTTGTTTTAAATAAGAAATTTATTGCAAATATAGAAATTGATTCTCTCCATACAGGAATCTCCGATTGAGGAAAACAATTTCGTGCCATTCAGTTTAAAACAGGAAATGGGGAGGAGGGAGAGGCAGAGAGAGGGAAGAGAAAATAAATGAAGTTACCCCCCTAAAAGAAGAAAAGGAGAGGGCTCAGGCCCCTCGAGGGAGGAAGGGTCCACACACAGCTAGGGTTCACAGGTTCATAGCCCAGGGCCAGAGCCCAGCTCTGCAGGATCCAAACCAGGTGCCAAGGGCGGGGCCGTGGGGCTGGTGGCTCCTTGTAGAGGGAGGGAGGGAGGAGGGACCCCTGGCCCCTGCCCAGCCCTGTGCTTGTTTAGCGAGGGGCAGGGGAAGGAGAGGCTGCCCAGACCCTCCCACCCGCCCCATTCGAGTCCCCCTTTCTCTCCCCATAGCTCAGCAGCAGTGAGGGACCTTCAGTGGCAGACTCGGAAGCAGGCATGAGAGGCGAGGAGCGTAAATACTGGTTCTGTCTTAAAGGTGGGAGGATACAGAGTCAGGATGGACAAGGAGCACAGCAGCTCCTGGCACTGAGGTGGCCATGGAGCGTAAGTCTTGGCAAAAGGGAGGACAGCGTCGGGATCAGGCAAGCCATTGGGATCCGCGGAGCCCCAACCTCCCTACTGGCCTCGGGGTGGGGCAAGCTGCAGCCCTGCCCCTAAGCCCTGCAGAGCACAGACGCCCTCGGGGCTTCCCCTGCCTTGCCCGCCCCTCCACCAGCCTGGGAAGAGGGCTCCGCTCTGCCAGGAATAGGGTGGGATGCTGCTGAACGACAGGTTCCCTCGGAGGGTGGGGGCACCCGTGGAGGTACTTCGGGACACCCAGCCACCCCTAACCCCACTCTCCCCTTAGACTCATTCTCACATGGCCCGTGAGCTAGTCCTCTGGCTCACGTCATTCAGAGCTTGGCTGCTGGTCACCTCCTCCTCTGAGGGGCGCCCCAGCCCCTCCCCACTCCGTCACCCTATTTAAATTCTCTGCACAGTGTCCATCACTGGGGAACATTTTGTGGCTGTCCCTTCACTGCATGTAAGCCCACTAGAAGCTGGGATCCATCACTCTCGTCCCCCATGCCCGGCTCCCTTCCTGGCCTCAGTCTGTCCTTACTGGTTTGAAGACCCTAGAAGATTTCCTTCCATCCCTTTCCTGGACTTCTGTTTCTCCCTCTGTTAAATTTCCAGGAGGGGGCGAGCGACTTCCAGGTGGGAACATCAGAGACCCTCAGCGACCCTCAGCCAGGCCCAGATCTCCCCTGCCTCTCTGGGGCTATCCCGGCCTACTCTTCCCCAGGGGGTCTTCCCCCTCCCACCGCCCCGCAGACAGCCATCTCCCGGCCTGGCCACAGGTGGCCTCCACAGATCTCCCGGGGGGGCCATCGGCGGGCAGAGAAAAAGGCCCCTCCTGTTGGGGAGAGAAGCAAGCCCGGGACCCCTGAGGAGGTGTCTGCACCAGACTAAGCTTTCTTCCCGCCAGACCTCCGCTTTTCGCTTCTGGAAGGCCATTAGCTCCAACAGAGGGTCAGCGGCGCCTGCAGTGCCCTCGAGGAGAGAGTGGACCCATCGGTGCCACTTTCCAGGAACAGGCCCCCAGGAATTTCCTCTGCAGATTCTCTGATAGGGACAGCAAGCCCAGGCATGACCCCGGGCAGGGAGGCCTCCCCCAGGAGGTCCAGGGTGCAACACCCACATATCCAGCCCGCTTGCCCCCCACTCCACCAGCACCCCCCAGCCCGTTCCTCCTCCCCAGGAGCCCCCTCTTCCTTTCTCTCCTGGCTGCCTGCCCTCCCAGCCTGCCTAAGCCATGGGCCAGGTCCACCGTTCTCATCACTGTTTTAAACAAAGGGTTCCAGCCCGGCCAGCTAGACTCCTTGGCGTAAAGCAGAATTCCTCTTTCCTATTTTGCTCCCACCTGGGGAAGAACTATCCTGAACAGGACCCAGGATGCAGATGCAGGAAGACTTCTAGATGGGCTACAGGTGCAGGGGCCTCTTCCCCAGAGCGAGGGGCCTGGCCTGGGCGGCTGGGAATCCGGCCTTGCCAGGAGGCCAGAGGCCTGAGTTCTAGATCCTGTTCTGCCTCAAATATCAGTGTGACCTGGGTAGCGAAGGTGGGTTCACCTCCTGGAGGGGCAAGACCCTTGCTGTTAAGATGGGGACCTATCCTTAAAGCCCCCTGAATGAGACCGGCTGAGGTTTTTATAGGTCCTCTTCCACCAGGAATGCTCCCGGGAACCCTCCTGTGGGCAGCTCCCCCTCCCGTGAGGCCAGGCCCACTTTGGGCGCCTCCACCCCCCCACCCCCCGTTCCTCCCATGGGCTCCTCCCTCAGGGCCCTGAGCCTCCCCATACAGCTGCCCAGAAAGCCACAAGCTCTTGGCCTCCTGTACTCAGGAGTGTGACTGACCCCCACCCCACCTGACAGCCGAATCACCAGGCCCCTCCCTCTTCGGGGGCCCCGACTTCTTTATCTGCAAAGTAGGGGCAAGTGAGACAGAGGAGAGGTCCTCCCGTGCTCCCTTCCCTGGGGTGCCCTTTCTGACAGTGAAGAGGGGAAGGGCGAGGAGGGATGGGATGGAAGTGGGGACACGAGACGAGGGAGGAGGGGAGGCGGCACTTGTGGGCGATGTCCAGAAAGACAGGAGGCGGGGGTGGGGCACGGGGTGTTTTGGTGGCACCTGTTTTGGGTCGTTTGCAGAGCTGGCCCCTCCCCGGGTTTCAAGAGCTGCTTGTCAGATCACAACAGAGGGAATGTGGGAAAGGGGCAGCGGGGAGGGGGCAGGGGAGTCTGGACAAACTGGCACATACACGACAGATGTTTGCTCAGAAAAATACAGTAAAATCGTCATGCAAATATAACAGGGAATCTGCTTTCTCACACCACTGGCTTCTCCACCTGCTTGCTTTGCTCAGTTTTGCCAATCTGGTGTGAGGAGGGGCTGGGGGGCAGGTTTTAGGGGTTGGGGGAGGTCTGCTCTGCATATCCATGCTGGCCCCCTCCCCTCCACTCCCCAGGAGAACAGTCCTTTCTTTGCAAATGTCACCCCCAAAGTGAGCCTGGGCTTGGTCCGTCCCCCAAGTGGATGTGAGAGAGGCACTCAGTTGAGCCCTAAGGCCCCTTGCCCTCCACTATCCTCCCCTAAACCCTACCCCAGGCAGGAAGGTCGCTGGAAGCCCCGACCCAGGGATGGTCAGAACCCCCACAGTACAGGTCTTGGTCCCACCCCAGTGCCCACCCTCACCCCACAGCCACACTCCCCAAATCTCAAGAAACGCAGCTGGGTGACAGACCAGAGGCTGGGGGTCTCTGGCATGGGCGGGGGGAGAGCTGAATGGGCTCCTCCCCATCCTGAGGTGGGTGGGGAGCCAAGGGGCACATTGGCGGGGGGGCAAAGCTATAGTTGTCCCTGCCCCCCATCGGCCCCCCCAACCGAAGGTGAAGGGATGACCGATTCTGGCCCCTCAGCACCCCGACAGTGTTCAAGACCCACAGTCTCAGGACCCCAGATCTGCCCCCCAGAGCTCGCCTCTAGTCCCACCCTCCCTCACCGCCCTCTGCAGCCACACTGAGAGAGAACCCTGGGAGCCCAACGGTCCCAACTGCCAGGCTCTGGGTTGCCATGGCAACAGAGGCTGGCCAGGGAGGGGGAGGGGCCCCAGAACTGCCTGCTCCCCCCCAGCAGGGGGGTGCTCACTGTTTGTGCTTTGTTCGATGTTGGGTGGGGGTCAGCAAGGGGGGAGTGGCCATTCCCATGGAAACATGGGAGGCCCTCAGGCCAGGGGGTGGGGCAGGGATGGGTAACCAAGAGGGGGTGCGGGGTAAAGCCCTCCTTCCTCTGGGCAGGCGAGATGCTGCCCCAGGAGCCCATGAAGGGGTCAGGTGGGTGGAAGGCCGGGACGTAGGGGCACAGGCAGGAAGGCCCCCATCACACCCCGCCTCCCCGCTGCCCCTGGGCATCACAGTTCACCGCTGCCCTTCTGGGAGGAGCAGGGGTCCTGGAGGCCCAGAGAGGCTGGGGGCCAGGGCGTGGGGGCCTGCACCTGAGAGGCAGGGGGCCTGGCCCAGCCGCTCTCCTCGGACCCCATCAGCAGCTCCCAGGCTACTTGGAAGACACTTGAAGGGGACTGGTGGAATGTCCCCATGCCTCGGCTTCTCTCCTGTCAGCAGGACCCCCACCTCTCGTGGGTGCTGGCGTGGGGGCGAAGGACCCCCACATGATGAATCACAGCTCCCTGCACTGGGGGTGTGGCCATGAGGCTTTCTAGAAAGGAAAAGCACCCGCCGGAGTTAAGTCCCTTGGCCCCAGGAGACCACAGCTCTGGAAAGGGGTGGTAGGTGCACCGAGGGTGGAGGGTCCTGGGGGAGCCACTGTGGGTGGGGGATGGCACTGGGCTGGGAAGTTGGGAGACTGACTGTAACCTGCTGTGTGACCCTGGGGTTATCACTTCCTGTCTCTGGGCCTTAGTTTCCCCATCCATAAAGGAAGGAAAGGATGCCCAGTCTCGGTCTGGTGCTTCATCTCCAAGTGACCTGTCCCCCAGCTGGGGGGACCCTCTCCCTGCCCCAGAGGGGCTTCAGTCTCTCTCTTGCCCCAGGCTCCTTTGCCCCCAAACCTGCCCCTAGTCCCAGAGCCCGAGACCCCACACCCTCCTTTGGCTTCCTCCCAGCCCCCACCCCCGAGGCCCCCACACCCAGCAGAGTCCCTGGGCAGCACAGTAAAGACGACTGGTTTCGGTATCAGTGTGTAAACTTTAAGGAGAACGTGTCTCTGTTTTCCTGTCCGTTATTGTTGGGTGGTAGTTGTTCACAGTCAGGTGGTGGTCAGGTGTGTGCGTGGGTGCGTGCGTGCGGGTGTGCGTGTGCGTCCACTCCTCGGCCTCGGCCCCCAGCGCGCCCCGCCCGGCCGCCAGGGCCCTGCCCCACGCGCCCCCGCCCGCCCCCTCCGACCTCACCGGGGAGGAGAGGGTCACAGCTTTTGCTGGGCCGAGACCCCCTTCCAGTAATCCAGGATGTCGTGCAGGTCCTCGTCCTTGGCGAACTGGACCTTCTTGCGCAGGGCGTGGCCGGCGGCCATGTACACCTCCTCGCGGGGGTGCTTCTTGTAGGGCCGGAAGCGCTCCCAGATCTTGTGCGTGCTCTCGGAGGAGTACTCAGGGCTGGAGGAGTACCCCGAGTAGTAGTGTCTGGGGGAGAGCTGCGAGTAGGCGGAGTCCCGCTTGGAGCGGGTCAGCGGCTTGAGGAAGGACACGCGCTGGCTCAGGCTGTCGGCGCCCTCCTCGTAGTACAGGGCCGGGAAGCTGTGCCGGTGCTCGCTGCAGTGGTAGGCGGGCTTCACCTCCAGGTGGTGGACGCCGCCCCCGCCGCCCGCCGGCACCAGCGGGAGCCGGTCCAGCGGGCTGTTGAGAGGGCTGCCCTTCTCGATGTACTTAGAGTCGCCCTTGGCCAGCCCCGCGGCGGCCGGGTGGTCGGGCACGTCCAGGCTGAAGACCTTGGCGCTCTTGATGGAGCCGCTGGACGAGACGCTGCAGGTCTTGCGGGCCACGGCGGCGTCGGCGCTCAGCTGGCGCTGGAGCGGGTGGTGGGAGCTCTCCTTGTAGGAGGGCGAGAGGAAGCTGGGCCGCTCCAGCGCCCCGGGGGCGGCGGCCGAGGAGGCACTGGCGGCTGTGGGGAGGGACTGGCACTCGAAGGCCAGCTCTGGGTCCCCGCCGCCACTGCCACCCCCCAGGAAAGAGGCCGAGTCCAGCTTGAGGGCATCGATGCAGTTGTTAATGATCTGGTTGACCTTGTCCACCTCCTTGGCGATGGTGGAGATCTCCGCGGCCGAGCCCTGGCCGTTCTCCAGGCCCGGGAGGTCATCCTCCGGCCGCGCCAGGCCGTCCCCACCCGTGCCGGTGCGCACCTCGATATAGTTGCCCTTGGTGGCCACCTTGGGCGTGTCCAGCCCGGCCTCCAGACCCTTGGAGGCGGGCAACTTCTCCCCGATCATGGAGGGGATGGAGGACATGCGAGACACGGGCAGCACGGGGGGCTCGCCCAGCTTCTGGGCAGCGTGGACGACAGAGCCGGCATCCACGTCGGCCCCGTAGCGCATCTCCAGAATGGTCTTCTTCACCTTGACGGACTTCTGCTTCTCCTCCTGCAGGCGCCGCTTGCGCAGGCAGTAGTAGACGGCGCCCAGCACGATGACCATGCCGAAGAGGCAGCCCAGGATGGTCATGATGTAGTGGGTGGTGGTGGAGGTGCTGGGCGCCAGGTCCCCGGGGACCGGGTCCCGCGTGGTGAAGGTCAGACAGGTGTGGTTGAAGCGGCGGCTGTTGCGCAGCGAGGTCACGCAGAAGGTGTACTCGGTGTGCGCACGCAGCTTGTCGAGCGTGACGATCTCCTTCTTGTTCTTCAGCGTCATGACGTCGGAGAAGTAGCTGTTATTGTACTGGACCAGGACGTACATCTTGCTGTAGGGATGTGGGATGATGACCACCAGGGTGGCCGAGGTGAAGGTCACGTGGTGCAGCTTGATGGCGGGCCCCGCCGACGCATCCGTGGTGGACGAGGCCGGCGGCTCCACCGAAAGAATCTCGTCCGGGTTGAAGCCCGAGTTCTCGTCGGGCTCCCTCTGGGCGTCGGTGGAGTAGGGCGTGGGGTGGCTCGCGGGCCGGGCGGGCAGCGACCCGTTGCGACACTTGGCCTGGAGCACGGTGATGGCGTTGAGGCTGTGGTAGGGCCGGGGCACCAGCAGCGGGTAGCCGGCGAACTCGCGGGGCGACTCGCACTGCAGGCGGTCGTAGTTCTTGGTGACGTTGTTGAAGACCACCAGCCAGGCGAGGAAGCCGAAGAGGTCGCACTCGCAGTTGAAGGGGTTGCCCGCCAGCTCGCACACCATGAGGCTGGCCAGGCTGGCGAAGGTGGCGCCGTCGAGGCGGCTGAGGCGGTTGGAGGACAGGTCGATGCTGATGAGGCTCGGGCACTCGGAGAAGGCGGCGGGCGTCACCAGCTCGATGAGGTTGTGCTGCGCGAAGAGGAACTGCAGGCGGCCCATGCCGCGCAGCATGCCCTCCGTCAGGTTGCTGAGCTTGTTGTAGCCCAGCTGCAGCACCTGCAGGCTCGACTGGCCCAGGAAGGCGCCGTCCTCGATGTAGGAGATCTCGTTCTTGGTGAGGTTGAGGTCGGTGAGGTTCCCGAAGCGGTTGAGCGAGGAGTAGAGCACGGCCTTGAGCTTGTTCTCGTTGAGGCGCAGGTCGTGCACCGTGCTGTTGATGTGCTGCGGGATGGTCTCGTAGGGCGGCTGGTTCTGGCTGCAGATGGCCAGCCACACGTACCCCTTGTCGCCCTCGATGAGCCAGCAGTCGGCGCGCACGGCGCCCGGCTGGCACACGCACAGCAGCGCGGCCGCGCACAGCCCCAGGCGCAGCATGGCGCCGGCCGCGGCCCCCTCGCGGGCCGGGCTGGGGGTGAGGGGCCAGGGCACGGTGGGCCTAGCGGCCAGAGGCTGGGGCTGGCAGCACAGTCCTCCCTGGGGATGCCACCATCTTGGGGGCGACCCCCAAGCCGGGGTCCCCAGGTGAGGCAGGCACGGCCAGAGCCAACGGCCGGGGGCCTTCGGGGGCACTACCAGCAGGCGCTGGGCACCGTGGCCAGACCGGGGCCAGGGGGGCGGCGGGCCCCGCAGCCTGCGGCCCCGAGTTGCTGCTCTCCCGCTGGGAAGGTGCAGAGGTTCTCAGGGCCCAACTTCCTCCTCCTCCTCCTCTTCCTCCTGGGGTTCTGGGCTCAGAACTTCAGAAGATTCCCACCGGAGGCCGGAGAGTGGAGCTCTGAGGGGGAGCACGAGAGACGGGGGCAGGAAGGAAGAGACCCATCTGTCACCTGGTTCCTGAAAGGCAGCACCGAGAGGGGTGACAGATCAGTGTGGAGGCTCAGAGCGTCCCTCGAAGCTCCAGTGCAGGCCCCCAGTCCCTTCTGCACCCTTCTGGGGGGGGGGTCCCCGTGCCAGCAGCACTCTAGGGCCCCTGTTACATAAGAGAAGGGAGGGGGGTGGTGGCAAGAGAGGAGGAGGGGGTGGGGGCTTAGAAGGAGGGGGACTGAAGAACCAAACAAGGCAGGGCAAGGAGGAGGGGGACAGAGTCTGAGGACAGTGGGCAGAGACAGGAGCCCAGAGAGTAACAGCTCAGGTGCACATACACCCTCACACACACACTCACACACACACACGCCCAGCACACTCATGTCCACACTCGTCCACCTGCCCACACAAAGACCTACATGTCCCCACAGGAGACAGAACTACACAGCATGCACACATAGGTGCACACACACCCCTACAGTCTTGAGCATGACAAATGGGCTTGTACACACATGGCCACGTACCCGGGTGGGCACCCTCTAATCCAGATAAAGACTGAAGATGCCCAGCAAAATGCCTCCTCTCCTCCACACCCCAAGATAAATAACTCATTTGTTGTGTAACTGCTCTTGTTCCAAAAATAATCCCCTTGTCTCAGCTTCCATGGGGGAGGGGAGCAGAGCAGCGAGGCTGTGGGCCCCCTAGGCAGGGGGATGCAGAGGCTGGGGTCTCCCGCAGTGGGAGGGCACAGGGAGAGCTCATCCTACAGGCAGGAGCAGAGCCAAGGGAAAGAGAGGGGGGGAGTGTGGAAGCCAGACACCTCCAGTATCACTTCCCCAAAGTGGTTTCCATTATAGGCCCTGATCCTCGAGGTGGGAAGGGGGGCTCAGGCAGCCAAAGAAGCCAGAGGCCTCTGAATAGTGTAAGTGAAGCCCCACATCCCCTCCGTAGCTGGAGAGTCAGGGGCCCAGAGAGGCAGGGACTTGCCCCGAGTCACACAGCACAACCTGGCCCAGGCTCAAGGTCCTGAGGCACCAGGAGTCAGGAGGCCAGGAGCCCCATCCACCCGGCCTGATTAGCCGGAGGGAGCACACCATCTCTGAGTCTTGTTTCCACATCTATAAAGCAGGCACAGGTCCCTGCCTGGCCATCTGATGGGGGAGGAAGGTGAGCTGTGCTGTCCGTGCCGTCCGTGCCCAGAATGCAGAGGGGCAGCGTTGGTGGCGCAGGGCTCACAGCCCGCAGAGCCTCGTGATCCAAGTGGGGAAAGTGAGCCCCAGACCAGGGGAGACTTGCCCTGGTCACCCAGCAAGCCGGACACAGCCCCTCAGCCAGATGGGGCTCCAGCTCCCACCCCATGCTCTCTAGACGGAGGAAAGAGCCCTGTGCTCCCTCCCTCCACCCTGGGCAGTGACCAAGGATGTGAAGATCAGGCCAGAGAAATCCATGTTTGGATAGAGAGCCAGAGACTGTTCACAAGAGCCCCCTCTGCCTCCTGCTCCTCCTACTGGGAAACTCCAGGAAAGAGAGCACTTTGGGGAAAAAAAAAAATGTAAACCTTTGCTGGTAAAGCAAAACCAATTTACAGCCCTGAGCCCCAGAGGGCTGGAACAGAGGAAAGGCGAGCGAGAGCGGAAAGTCCCCGAAGAAGTCCAGGCAGGCAGTTTCGTTGAGATGGCAGGTGGACAGGGCATCCAGATGACCCTTCACATAAAAGGCTGACGTGGCCCCAGAGGCTGTGATGATCCGGACCCCCAGGCGAGGTGGCCTCACATCTCCCCGTCCCCTGTGGGGCCAGCTTGGGCTGAGGGGCCTGAGAGGGGCTTAGGGGGGCCCCAGGAGGCAGCTGGGCAGGAAGGGGGACCCAGCCAGCAGAGAGCATTCCTGTCCTTGGCAGCGACATGCAGACTCAGGGCCGGAGTCGGGAGACGTGGGCTCCCATCTGGCTGACCGCTGGCTCCTAGGGGACCCCGGGCCAGCCCTCCCCATCTCGGGGCCTCAGTTTCCGCCCCCACAGGCAGCAAGGTTGTGCTGGAGGAGGCTGAGTGGCCCAGCTCACCGTGTCAGAGAACCCTGCCCCTGCAGCTCCTCCCGCTGGGGGGTGGGGACGTCTGGGCATGTCTGGGGATGTCGGGGAGCGCATCTGTGTGCAGGTGTACACACAAGTGTGCGCTGGCTCCGAGCGCTGGTGCCGGGGAGCGCTCAAGTGCACAAGCAGATGGAGACGCAGGCAGGCGTGTGTGCACGCGTATGCCCGTGTGCACAGGACGTGTGCACGCGTGGCCAGCTATCTCGAGTGAACACGGGCCTGTGTGGAGGGGTGGGAGGGGACGCGTGGGGGGGCACCTCGGGAACGCATAACACCTGCCTGTGTCCACATGTTTCATTAAGCAGGTGTTCCACATGCATGTGTACATGAGTACGTGTGCATACGTGCAACTTCAGCCACACAGGGCGCCCCCCGACTCAGATCAGAGTTGCTCAGACCAGCACCCCCACAGCCAGGCCCGGGGGTGTCAGGCAAGCTGAGCTGGCTGGAGCCTCCTGAAATCCCAGGCCACAGAGGGGATGTGAGGAGGCTGAGGGGGAGGGGAGGGGAGTAGGAGAGGGGCCCAGGGTTAGGGGCGGGGCTCATCCTGTCCCATCTCTTCCCTTCCCAAACAGTCCTGGGTGGGCAGAGGCCCCCCGTGCCCCCCACCCCAGCCACTCTGAGCCGTCCTGAGCCCTCAAGGTGACCCTGCCTGTGGCCCTCTCCCCCACTGCTCCTGGCCTCCAAGACGGCTGGGGCTGGGGCCCAGCTACCCCCACCCTGCCCGTGACTCAGACGGAGGGCGGCTCCCCGTCACCCTGTCCCGTGTGCCTCAGCTGCCCTGTCCCCTTCCCTGGGCTGCCTGCCCCCCCCCCACCGTCAAGGCCCGATGCAGCCAGCAGGGGGGACGGTGAGGCCGTGAAGGCGCTGACAGCAGCACTCGGCCCCCCGCCCAGCTGCGCACCCACTCAAGGCGGGGGGGAGGGGGTGCCGCCTCGGTTGTCTCAGGCCTGGGGCTGAGGGTCCCGAGGGTCAGGGCCGTCCCCCGCTGCTGCGACGATGCTCCCCCAGCACACACGAGTGGGAGGAACAGGGCCCCACCCCCTACGCACGGCGGGGGCGCTGGGAGAAAGGAAGGAGGTGAGCGAGCTGCAGACAGGAGGCCAGGACCGAGAAGGACGGAAAAGCAAAAATAAGGAGACAGCCGAGCAGGGAGAGACAGAGGAAGAGAGATAAACGGAGAGAGCGCGTCTGAGATGGAGGCTCTGATCAGCAGGGAAGCACAGCGAGATGACAGATATGGGGGGGGGGGCCACAGCGCCTGGTGCTCACCCCGCCCACCCACCCAGGGGCCAGGGAGACAGATGAGCACTGGGCCAGAGGGAGGGGGATGGGGCAGGAAGCAGACGCCTTTTCTGCCCAGGGCCTAAATGGTGCGAAACCTGGGAGGGTATGGCTGTGCAGGGAGGCGGGCTGTGGGTCACGGCGCAGAGAGCAGTGCTCCTGGCTGTCCTGGCCTGAGGGTCCCCTCCCCACACAGGTGTGGCTGGAATGAGTGACCTCTGGCCAGAGCAGGGGCAGGCCCAAAGTGCCCACCAGCAACTCTTCAAGGTCCCTCTCTCTCTCCTTCCACCCCTGAGAGAAGGAACATAGCAAAGTTGGGGGCAGCATGCTGTCGAGGGATCTTGGGGCGGGCCCCCAGTCTTGCTGGCTGCACACTGTCCCCTCTCATGGGGACACCCTTGGAAGGAGAGGAGGGAGAAGAGCCCATGAGATCTGACAGGTCTGAGGGGCAGGGCTGAGGTGCGGTACCAGTCCAGAGCCGGCATGGCCACAGAATGTCTGAGTCACTCTGGGCAAACGCCTCCCCACTCTGGGCCTCAGCATGCCACTCTCCCCAGAAGTCACCGGTGCACCCCGTTGGTTTCTGTGACCTACTCCTCCAGGTGCCATGAGGTTCCGGGCCTGTCTATGGACCCAGCATCCTAGAGCTTCAGAGCTAGGAGGACGAGGAGCCCTTGCTCAGCCCAATCCCAGCCCTTCTCAGAGGGGAAACTGAGGCCAGGACTGGGGAAGGGACACGTTCAGCTGGTGACAGGTCAAGCTCAAGACCCAGGGTGGCCATGACAGATCCTGACCTGGCAACCTCGAATCCCCTCGGGGTGCTGACTGGCCCAACACGGGCCCCCTCGTCAGCCTCCCCCTCCCTGGGCTGGGTGAGAGGATGGACAGGGTGAGCTCTGCCTGAGTGACCCGCGGCTGAGAGGGGACGGGATGGGGGACGGGGGAGTGGGGGGTCAGCAGGGAAGACATGGGGCTGGCCAGCTCTGAGACCTTGGGCAAGCTGTAGGCCCTCTCTGAACCTCAGTTTCTCCATCTGCATGGCATGGTGAGTGCCACCCATCTCCCAGGGCTCCCACAAAACCCCAGGACTTGGTGGAGACAGATACGCTCTGCATGGGGCAGGAGGCCCGGCAAATGCACCACCTCGGGCTCCTGCTCCCGTGGGGATGCTGGTGGGGACAGTGGTGGGGTGGGGGAGCGGGTGGGGGAGCAGGTAGGGGAGGCACAGTCGTGTCCCGGCCTCCCAGGAGC